ACTACATAATGAAACCCTGTCTTGAAAAGAGAGAGAGAGAGAGAGAGAGAGACACACACACACACACACACACACACACACAACTTTTTCTGACATTAGTTTATATTAGCTTTCTTTTGAGTAGTATTGGTATATCTTTTTCTACCTTATACCTTGTTTACATCTTTATACTTAAATTGTGTCTTTAATATTCAGTCTGTATTTTAATTGGAGTAGTTGGTCTGTTTAATATAATTTGGACTTTGACATCTTTCTCTTTGTTATCAGTTTACTATGTTGTATTCTTTTTTTCTCCTTTTGATCAGAGTTCTTTTTCCTCTATAGCTTATTGGTTATATACCTTTTACATTTTTTGTGGGTATTTTAAAGAATACAATTTGCATACTTCTATTTACATATACTGTAAATTAAAATTTTATCTATTGAGGATTCTTTAATTCCATTATCATCAAATGCTTCTCACATTTATGTTGTCTGCGGTTTTGTTTTTGTTTGGTTTTTGGTGCCAGTCATCGCACTTGAACTCTGGGGCTAAGTGCTATCCCTGAGCTTTTGTGCTTAAAGTTAGCATTCTATTATGTAAGCCACAGCTCCACTTTAAGCTTTTTGGGGGGGTAATGAATTGGCGATAAGAGTCTTACAGGCTTACAGGATTCGAACCCAGGGCTTTATGCATGCTAAGCAAGCACTCTACCAATAAGCCACATTTCCAGCTTGTGTTATATATTTTAAACTGCCATTTTTGTCACTACTTTATACTGCCCATGTTCATTAAGATGTGTAGTTTTGCATTCATTCTTATTCCTTCCTCTGTCTGTGCTTCATCTGGATGTATTTATCTTCTGCCAGAAGAATATGCCTTTAGTGTTTAGTGTGTTTCAAATCTTAATTTGCCTAGACTGTTATTTATGTATTTTATTCCTCCCATAAACACTTAACTAAATATTTACACTGTACTATGCCTGGGACATCTTGATAAAAGACAGTCCTGTTAACAGGAGGCATGGCAGAATGTCCAAAAGACTTTATTTCCAAATAACCAGAAAAAAATTACTCTGATAGGTCAGATACAGTTTGGAAAGGTTGACTATGATAGAGGGGTGTACAGACCTCCTTGGGAGCATGGGACAATGAGCAGTTCACTAATTCTGGCACTTCCTTGAGACTAGTTAAGGAATACTTGGGTGCTGTCTTCAGGGGTCAATTAGGGGACTAAGCTTACAGCCATGTTAAGATTAGACTTTAATTTGATTGCTCTTTGTACCCTTTTTTTGGGGGGGGGTCCAGTCGTGGGGCCTGAACTCTGGGCCTGGGCGCTGTCCCTCAGCACTTCAGCTCAAGGCTAGCTCTCTACCACTTGAGCTACAGCGCCACTTCAGCTTTTTTTTTTTCTGCTTATGTGGTGCTGAGGAATTGAACCCAGGCATGCAAGGCAAGCGCTCTACCACTGAGCCACCTTCCCAGCCCTGTACCCCTTTTTAACTTAATATTCTTACTGGGCTTCATCCACTAACAGCTAATATTATTGAGAATTTATGGCCTGCACTATTGCAATCAATTTATATGTATTAGTTCATTTTATTTTCACAGCAACTATGTATGGCATGTGCAGATTAAGAAACTATAAAAATTTTTCTAAGATAATTACAACTAGCCATTGACAGAGCCTGATTTGGACTGCCGTGGTTTTATTCCAAACCCATGTTCCTTAACACCAAAGCAGCCTGTTGCATGGATCATAGTCAATATATTCTTTTGCTTTTCCATAGAAAAATGCAACAAAGCCAGGCGCCGGTGGCTCACGCCTGTAATCCTAGCTACTCAGGAGGCTGAGATCTGAGGATCATGGTTCAAAGCCAGCCCGGACAAGGAAAGTCTGTGAGACTCTTATCTCCACTAAACCACTAGAAAACCGGAAGTGGCGCTGTGGCTCAAGCGGTAGAGCACTCGCCTTGAGCTGTAGAGCTGAGGGATAGCCCCCAACCCCAGAGTTCAAGCCCCACTACCGACCAAAAAGAAAAAAAATGAAACAAAAATAGGACTGTAGAAGCTGAAGTTATGTAAAATTTTCCATGAACACAGCATTGTAATAATATTGGTTCAAGTTGCAAGTGTTTTCTTCAGATATGTTTAGACAGTCTCCAGACACCAAACTATACTTAGCTCTAATGTACCATTTTAACCATACTAGAAGAGTTAACCTTCACATACATTGTTTGCCTTGATTTGGAGGGGTTTTTTGCCTTGGTTTGGAGTTTTCTGTTGTGTGGTTCTGGATACCAAACCCTTTTCTTTTTCCTTTTTACTAAACATTCTACTCAAATGCTATGGAGCTCACATTTTTGCCTCCCTTTTTTTTTTTTTTTTTAAACTTGTTTTTTTTTTTTTTCTGTATTTTTCCTTCAAGATTCTATAAGATTTGTAGTGAAAGTAATCCAGTTCAAAATAGTAGTTATTGGAGGAATACTAGAACAATTTACTGAATGGACAGAAGAATGTTGAGCACTGAGCTGCAAAGTTTCCTTTTGTGTTCCTTCTCCACCTCTGTCTCTGATCTTTACTTCTGTTTTCTGTACTTTCTTCCCATTACTTAGGGTAGTAAGATGCCTTTTAGGTTGACTTTGTCTCTGTTTAATGAGTCCTGAGAAAGGTTTCTTTCTCCTGTTTTGCCCAGCCTGGGGCTTGAACTCAGGGCCTGGACTCTGTCCCTGAGATTTTTTGCTCAAGGCTAGCGCTCTACCCCTTGAGCCACTTCCAGCTTTTTGCTGGTACTTCGAGGTCAGTCTCACGGACGTTCCTGCCTGGGCTGGACCCGCGATCCTCCCATCCCAGCCTCCTGAGGAGGTCCGCTGCAGGTGTCGCCAGCACCCGGAAAGTTCAGAGACTTTTGTGGAAAAGCTTTAGGGAACTGGGGGGAACGTTTGGAGTTCATCAGTGAAGTTTATGTGTATCTGAATCCCAAGAAAATTCTGAACCAGTTTGGAATGTTCATATTTTTTAGACCAATCACGCTGAGCAAGGAAGTAACGTACTATGATTGTTCAAGAGTAAATAAATACCTCCCCTGCTCAAACCACATACAACGGTAGAGAATCAGTTTCCCACAAGAATAGTTCAATAAAAAGAAGGTGAAAAGTGGGGCTGGGAAGGTAGCTCAGTGGTAGAGCACTTGCCTTGCATGCATGAGGCCCTAGGTTCGATTCCTCAGTACCACATAAGTAGAAAAGGCTGGAAGTGGTGCTGTGGCTCAAGTGGTAGAGTGCTAGCCTTGAGCTGAAGAGCTGAGGGACAGTACCCAGGCCTAGAGTTCAGGCCCCACAACCGGTCCCCCCCACAACAAAAAAGAAGGTGAATAGTGAAGTACAAACGGATAATCACAAGTTTCCTGCTAGAGCACTTACCTTTAACCTACATTTAGGCACCTAGCTCTACTTTGAGATTGATGACAAAGGTAATATATGGGAATTAGGCAGCTCTTTTTATTGAATCCCCTTGGGTTAGGGAACTGTACACAATTTTATGTTCAATAAGTATATTTCAATTCCTTTTTAGAGTGCTTGTCATTATTCTTACTTAATTTAAGTCATTGTTTTAGGCAGACATTTATCTTTTCCATTTTTAGTTTTGGAAAAAATGGTTTAATGTTTCAAAGCTGGGCACTGGTGGCTCATGCCTGTAGTCCTAACTACTAAGGAGGCTGAGTTCTAAGGATAGAGGTTCAAAGCCAGCCCGGGCAGGAAAGTCCGTGAGACTCTTTTTTACAATAAACCACCAGAAAACTGGAAGTGGTGCTGTGGCTCAAGTGGTAGAGTACTCTCCTTGAGCTGAAGAGCTCAGGGACAGCACCCAGGCCCAGAGTTCAAACCCTATGACTGAAAATAAATACATAAAAGAGTTATTTTTAGGATTTCATTGGACATAAATTACTGATAACTTGGTTAAACTACATATATTACAGGCTCATTCCTGTAATCCTAACTACTTGGGAGGCCAAGATTGGGAAAATCAAGTTTTGAGGACAGCCTGGGCAGAAAAGTTTGTGAACAGAGAGCTGGGCACAGCGGCTACCTGTTTCCTAGTTTGATCTTAGCCCAGGCACATGAAGAAGATTTCCGGGAGGCAATAAGACCCTATCTCAAGAAAAACTGGTGCAAAGAGGGCCTGGAAGTATGGCTCAGCAGTAGAGCACCTGCCTAACAATCACAAGACCCCTAAGTCAAATCCCAATATTACCAAGAAAATTCCTCTTTAAATGTTATTAAATACATTGTTAGGTTTTTTTAACTGAAAATGATACTTCAGAAAAAAAATGGTTTGTTAAAGATTCTGTGTTCCAGCCAGGTACCTGTGGCTCACACAGTAATCCTAGCTACTCAGGAGGCTGAGATTTGAGGATCACGGTTCAAAACCAGCCTGGGCAGGAAAGTCTGTGAGACTCTTATCTACAATAAACCACTAGAAAACCGGAAGCGGCGCTGTGACCCAAGTGTAAAAGAACTCACCTTGCACAGAGTACTCACCTTGAGCTGAAGAGTGCAGGGACAGCACCCAAACCCAGAATTGAAGCCCCATGAGAGAGAGAAAGAGAGAGAGATTGATTCTGTGTTCTTTAGAAATGTTTGTTTAGTAAATACATGGCTCAGATATTTACTGTTTTCAAGATTGTTTTATCATCTAGATACTTTTTTACTTTATTTTATTTTTTGTCAGTTGTGGGGCTTGAACTCTGGGCCTGAGCCCTGTTCCTGAGCTTTTCAGCTCAAAGAGAGCTGGTGGTTAACTGGAAAAGAGTCTCATGGCCTTTCTTGCCCTGTCTGGCATTGAACTGTGATGTTCACATCTCAGCATCCTGAGTAGCTATGATTGTAGTCATAAGCCACCGGTGCCCGACTCATCTAGATATTTTTAATTTTAGGATTTTGTCTTTCAATATAAATGACAGTTATTAAATAAAATACTTAAATCATTTGAGTATTGACATATTTCTGTTTTGTCCTTAGGAGCTAAGAGAAAGCTATAATACACAACAGTTAGCTCTTGAACAACTTCATAAGATCAAACATGACAAGTTGAAGGAAGTTGAAAGGAAAAGAGTAGAGCTATTACAGAAAAAGAAACTAGAAGATGAAGCTGCAAGGTAATGTAATTCATATTTTTTTATCCTTTATTGCTATTAGAATTCTAATCACATTGCTTTGGTTTCGCTATGAAAACTTAAGGGAAATAAAAGGATTATTTTAAGATGTTAATCAGTTTCCAAACTTTGCTACTTAAAGCTTCCTCTTAGGAACCAAGTTTTCAGAGACCAGTTTTATGGCTCTTAACTGAAAAATACGGACTTTGGAATCAGACATGGATTAGAATTCTGTCTACCACTTACTACCTTGATAACCTTGGTTTAAGGCACTTTATCTCTCTGAAACTCAGTTTCTTCATCTGAAAAAGCAAGCTTTATTGTATTCCTTATGGGGGATTGTATTAAATAAGCTAATTAACATTTCACAAAGGAACTACAGTGATTACATAGGTAGACACTGTTCAGACATTCTATTGACATAAGCAGTTACCTTGATAGCTCTTCATCTGGCACACAGTTCCTCTCAGCCAACAGATTGCATTAGTAATACATACTTTCATCATTCATGCTTGCATATTTTCTTACCATGTGGAGAGAAAGAAATCAAAGAGAACAGAAGTAACATGTAGGATATGTAGGATCTTAACATTTCAAAGTTGAGTGTTAGTATTTTACCTTGATTTGCATGGCTATTTTCCCAGGTTCCTTCCCTTTTTCTCCCAAGCTATTAGTAAGAGTCTGATTTTTCACATTGTAGATGTAGCAATATAGCCTCCTTGGCCTTCTGTTGCCCTTGTGAGGCATCATCTGGTACTGGACCAGTTTTCACCCCCCTATCTCTTGCTTTGGAATTTTTATCAGAATTTAATGAACTCTGTGGTCTTTACTTCGCCCCTTTATGTGTAACTGTATAATCTGAAAATGTGTAATCTAATCATGGTTGTGTATAATTGTATGGGAAATCACACAAAGGACAGAAGAGTTATCATATGTTTGGGAGAGTGTTATAGAATGTTACAGTGGAACTAGAAAAGTGACTGTTAGTTAAAATTACATTAGGACTACAAGAAAAGCCTTGTCTTCAAGAACAACTTAAAGCTTCCAGAGGAAGCATCCTATGATATAATAGAGGATATGGAAATTTTGGAAATAAACTAATACTAATATTGGTTTATATTTTATGAATTAAAAGATTATGGTGGCTCATGCCTATAATCCTAGCTACTCAGAAGGCTGATCTGAGGATCATGGTTCAAAGCCAGCTTGGGCAGAAAGGTCCATGAGGCTTTAACTTCCAATTAGTACCAAAAAGGTGGTAGTGGATGTGAGGCTCAAGTGGAAGACTGACATACTTAAGTGAAAAAGCCAAATGAGAGTTGGGCGCTGATCTTACCTAATCCTAACTACTCAGGATGGTGAGATTTGAGGATCATGGTTTGAAGCCAACTCAGGCAGAAAAATCTATGTGACTCTTACCTCCCAATAAACTACTTAGGAAAAAGCCAAAAGTGGCATGGTGGCTTTAGAATCTCTCGGGGACAGTGCCCAAGCCCTGAGTTCAAGCCCCAAGGCTGGCATGCACTAAACACACACATACAAACACACAAGCCAAGTGAGCATATAAAACCCTGAGTTCAAGCTGCAGTATCAGCCTCTCCCCCCAAAAAGAAAAAATATTTTAGTACTAAGGTCTACAATATTTTTCATTATCTAGGATTTCCAAATTCCTTCAGAGAAATTAAGGATAGAACTTTATAATTAAGCCAAGGTTACCACTTTAATGATGTATACATTTACCTCAGTCTCAAAGATGTATCTAGCCACAGTCTACTTCCCCTATAGTATTGAGTATTGTGGTCACTATTCCCAGAGTGAGGACATAAAAATGCATGCAAGAAGCTGAGTGACAGTAGCTAATGCCTATGTAATCCTAGCAATTCAGGAGGCTGATATCTGAGGCACACGCAAAGTTCATGAGACTCATATTTCCAGTTGACTCTAAAAAACTCAGAAGTAGCCGGGCGCAGGTGGCTCACACCTGTAATCTTAGCTACTCAGGAGGCTGAGATCTGAGGATCATGGTTCAAAGCCAGCCCAGGCAGGAAAGTCCATGAGACTCTTATCTCCAGTTAACCACCAGAAAACCAGAATTGGTGCTTTGACTCAAGTGGTAGAGCGTTTGCCTTGAGCTGAAGAGCTCAGGGAAAGTGTCCAGGCCCAGAGTTCAAGCCACACAACCTACCAAAACCAAACCAAACCAAAACAGAAAACAATCTAGAAGTGAAGCTGTGGCTCAAGTGGTAGAGTGCTAGCCTTAAGCAGAAAAGCTCAGGGACAATGCCCAGGCCAAGATCAAGCCTCAGGACACGCAAACTCACACATGCACGCACACATATACACAAATACATGCAAGGGAGGAGTATACTGTGTATACTTACAAGCTAAAATAATTTAAGTTTTATCACAGATCTTATTGTTGTATGTCATAAAATCATATACAGAAGCTTGAATGTATTAGCTACTTTTGCATAACTATAATTAAAATACCTGAGAGAATAATTTAAAGAAGGAAAGATTTCTTTTGGCTCATGATTTTAGGGGATTCAATCCACGGTTCCTGGGTCCTGTGTGATTGGGCCGAATTTGATGGCTGTAGGAGTGTGTGGTGGAGGAGAGCTGTTTATCTGTCCTTGTGACTAGAAGTAGGGAGTAGGAGACTAGGGACCCAGTATAACTTTTAAAGGTCCTCTATGTTCTCCAGGTAGGCCCTACTTCCAAAAGTTTTCCATCATATTTCAAACTGGTGCCACCAGCTGGGGACCATGTATTCAACTTCAAACCTTAACAATGACCTACAAAGTAGAAATGCTCTATTATCAAAGCAAATGCACAGGCCTTTTGAGATGATAATATAAAAGCTAACTAGCCTTTCCCAAAGCATTTCCCATTTCACAGTTGTGAATTAATCTCCTAAACAGGAATGAGGTATGAGAAAAGGAATAAAAGCTGGAGGGAGTCTTCATAAAGAGTGTGAAAGGGAAGGAGTTTTAGATTTACTTGCTGAACTTTTCGCATCCACTTAACTCTCTTTTCCTGGAAGTGGAGATGGCTGACTGGAGGTGTCATACTTTGTAGATCACTTATAATCCAAGGCTCCTCTTGATTGACTGATGTTCCCTTCACTCATGAACACTGCTGTTTCTCTCCCTGTCCCCAACTAATACTCTTTGCTAGTTTTCTGGCTAATAGGAGCCAGATTTTCTATTATTTTTTTCATTCTATATATAAACAATTTTTAGAACATTATACAAAGTCTTGTTCTTTTATTTAAAGGAAAGCTAAGCAAGGAAAAGAAAACTTATGGCGAGAAAATCTTAGAAAAGAGGAAGAAGAAAAGCAAAAGCGACTTCAGGAAGAAAAAACCCAAGAAAAACTTCAAGAAGAGGAACAAAAAGTTGAAGAGAAAGCAAGTAAGGATGGGTTTTTTTTTAAGGCAGCATAACAAAAACAATAAGTAAAGAGATCTGATAGGAGATTAAAAAAAGAAAAGAAGAAGAAATAGAAAGATCTTAGAATTTGAAAAAAGTATTTCAAGTTGGAAAAGAAATCTTAATACAGCAGAAGAAGACTTATAACTGACTTAACAAAAAGACCGTGACATAGTTTTCAAGTCTTTGCACATTGAAATATTCTCAGAAGATGTACCTTTATGTAGGCCTCAGTCCATTTCTAAAATACTTTAATAATATACTCTGTTGATAATAATATAGTGTATTCACTATAATGATAGTGTGTTCAGATTTTTTACAAGTAAAAGCATTTATCCAAAAACAAAGTAAAATATTTTAAATTTTATCATTTAATAAATTTGTGAACACTATTTGTTCCTTAGAACTAATCCTATTTACTTACTGATCTTTTCATTTGTGACCTACATGATGGTGCTATTTTTTTCTGTTATATTCTGACCTTCACAAATCAAGTCACATCTCTTTGCACTTAGTCTTCTTCTTCTTTGTCCAACTCCATTTGGCTTCCACTCCTTCCCTATCCCTTAGATCCATGTACATGCTTGGCTTAGTGGTAGAGTGCTTGCCTAGCATGAATGAAGCCATGGGTTCAATTCCTCGGTACCATGTAAACAAAAAAAGCAGGAAGTAGCGTTGTGGCTCAAGTGGTAGAGTGCTAGCCTTGAGCAAAAGAAGCTCAGGGACAGTGCCCAGGATCTGAGTTCAAGCCCCAGGACTAGCAAAAAAAAAAAACAAAACCTTCTTTTCTTTATATTAATTATATGACTAGTCAATCTATTTAAATCCTAATGAGTCTGTATCAGATTCATTCTACTATTTGATGCTCAGTTTTTATCATTCATATTATGTGTGTGTGTATGAGAGAGAGAGAGAGCACATACACTCATACTGGTACTGATACTTGAATTCAAGACCTCACAATTCTCTTTGTTTTTTTCCCCTCAAGGCAAGCACTCTACTCCTTTTGATTTTAAGAGCTTTATATTAAGCCATAGCACAGATATATAAAACAGAAGAAGAAATTATAATATTTATGTTCTCCTTAGGTGAGACATCTAATGTTTTGGTGAATTATAGAGCATTATACCCCTTTGAAGCAAGGAGCCATGATGAGATGAGTTTTAATTCTGGGGATATAATTCAGGTAAGAAATTATGGCTTTTTTTCCTTTATGAGGAAGCTGAATGTAACACATTGTGTTATATTATAATAATGATTATAGTTTTACACTTATATTTTTTAACATCTCATTTTGACCCTTGCAATGTATCTCAGAGCTGCCGAAGACAGTTATTATTCCTACCACATTCTAAGGAACAATACTGAAAATCACACGGATTATGATAGCCAGCATCTCACTGGCAGATTGGGATGCAAGTATTCTTTCCTCTCTGCATATTGCTTTGTATTGTAAAAGAAAATCATTTTAATTTTTATTTCATGGAAAGAACATATTAGAAGTAGGGACTGGCCAGAGACTTAAGAAACTGGCAAAGTGGAGCAAAGATGGAGTAGCTCATAATCTAAAAACCCTGATTAAGTGACATAGACTCTTTGGAAAGAGGTACGTTTGCTAACCTTAAGATAAAAAAGATAATAAAGGGACTTAATTATTTATAATAATTGTTTTAAATTATCATAATAAGCATGTTTGTTTAATGTAGGTTCAAGAAAATGTGAATGACGAATGACAAGTCACATGCAGTTAGTACAAAAACTAGACTTATCAAGTCTTGAAGACATACATCAAGTACAGGTCTTGCTTGATCCTGGATATCTTTGTTAGTAATAGTGTAGGTGTAATACTAATGACTTAGATTAAACTATAGCAAATGACTTATTAATCCTCCTTTAGAAAAATAGTTAAAATAAGCAAATAAAAACACACACTGATTTGAAGTTTTTTGAAAAGGTACTATGAAACAGAAAGATTTGGCCTGTTTCTCTGTTTCTTTCTTTCTTTTGTCAGTCGTGAGGCTTGAACTCTGGGCCTGGGTGCTGTTCCTCAGCTCCTCAGCTCAAGTCGAGCATTCTACCACTTGAGCCACAGTGCCATTTCCGGTTTTCTGAGTGGTTTATTAGAGATAAAAGTCTCACAGACTTTCCTTCTCGGGCTGGCTTTGAACCGTGATCCTTAGATCTCAGCCTCCTGAGTAGCTAGGATTATAGGCATGAGCTGCCAGTGCCCAGCCTGGCCTGTTTCTCTAAGCAAAGGCTTAGAAACTTTTAAAATATATTTTAAAACAAGTAACTAAAATCTATACACCAGTGACTCATGCCTGTAATCCTAGCTACTCAGAAAGCTAAGATCTGAGGAGTGTGGCTCAAAACCAGTGTAAGCAGGAAAGTCAGTGAGACTTTTATCTCCAGTTAACCACCAAAATGCTGGAAGTGGAGCTCAAGTGGTAGAGTGCTCACTTTGAGACAAAAACTCGAAGGCAGTGTCCAGACCCTGAGTTCAAGTCCCAGGACTGGCACACACATGCACAAAATCAAACAAATAGATAAATAATAACATTTTGTGGGGTTGGTTATTTTAAGGCAACTGTTAAAAAAGTTGAAGGAATTAGGTTCTGCATCCCTAACTGGATATGCTCCTGGAACAAAGGATTTTTTTATACGCTCACAATCCATATAAAATTGATAAAATAGAGAAAACACAGGAAATCATGTTAGTCAAGTCAGAATAAGAACAAGCTTTAGAATCTACAGATTGGGATTTTAGTCTCTATGATATGTAAATTATAACTCAATAAGTCATTATTAAAAACAAAAACATTGCCGGGCACCAGTGGCTCATACCTGTAATCCTAGCTACTCAGGAGACTGAGATCTTAGGATCACGGCTCAAATCCATCCAGAAAACAGGAAGTGGCGCTGTGGCTCAAAGTGGTAGAGCACTATCCTTGAGCAAAAGAGCTTAAGGACAATGCCCAAGTCCTGAGTTCTAGCCCCACAGCTGACAAAAATAAATAAATTAATAAATAACATAATTAAACATACAACTATAGTGTGATCTAGCCATTCCACTCTTAGAGATATTTAGCTAAGAAAGCATATGTCTGTGAAGACAGATGTTCATAACAGCTTTTATTCATTTTGTCGATGTTGTTGTTTATAGAAGCTTTATTTGTAATAGCTAAAAACTGGAGACAACTGAAATGTCCATCAACAGGTGAAAGGATGAGCAAATTGTACAGTACTCATACAAAATAATTACTCAGGGGCTGGGATGTAGCTCAGCGGCAAGTACTTGCTTTGCAAGTACAACGTCCTGGGTTCAATCCCCAGTACTAAAAAAGAATAGACCAAAAAATTATATATATTTATATATATACATGTATGTGTATATATATATATATATATATATATTATATATATACAGTTAAAATAAAAAACACAAACAAGCCAGCCACTGGTGGCTCACACCTAGCTACTCAGGAGGCTGAGATCTGAGGATAAAAGTTTAAAGCCAGGGCTGGGAAGGTGGCTCAGTGGTAGAGCTCTTGCCTTGCATGCCTGAGGCCCTGGGTTCGATTCCTCAGCACCACATAAGCAAAAAGAAAAAAAGCCGGAAGTGGCGCTATGGCTCAAATAGTAGAGTGCTAGCCTTGAGCTGAAGAGCTGAGGGACAGCGCCCAGGCCCAGAGTTCAGGCCCCACGACCAGACCCAAAAAAAAAAAAAGTTTAAAGCCAGCCCAGGCAAGAAAGTCCATGAGACTCGTATCTCCAATTAACCACCAGAAAACCAAAAGTGACTCTAATAGTAGAGCACTCACCTTGAGCTGAAGAGCTCAGGGACAGCGCCAGGCCCAGAGTTCAAGACCCACAACTGACAAAATAATAATAATATAATAATAATAATAGCTCAGCAATGAAAAATAATTCATCCTCACTACACATATATGTATCTCAAATGAACGATGTTGAGTGAAAAAGCAGACAAAAATGATGCATATTACAGGATTTTATATACATGAAATTCTAGAAAATGCAAACTAATCTCAAGTGACATAAAGTAGGCCAGGAAATGTGGTGAGAAACCAGAGGAAGGTTTAAAATGGAACGAGAAGAAACTGGTGAAGATGAGGAGTGATGGTTATGTTCTTCATTGTGGTTATGGTGATTTTTCACAAGACTTGCCATCTCCAACATGAAAATTTAGGTTATTTATACCTCAGTAGGCTGTTATTAAAAATCTTAATGTATTACATGATATGCCACTGTCAGATCTGTGTTTTAGACAGATATGGAAAATGTGGCAAGGAGACACAGTTGATTTATTTGTTCATTGAAATAAGCAGATATTTAGTGTGCTAGATAGAACCAATAAAAAGACAGACAGGTGGAACAGGTGTAAGTACAGCAATAATAGAATATGGTGATACTGATTATGCTAGTATAACTCTGGCCTGGCTTAGGGGTGTTAATAGAATCTTGAGAGTGAGCAAAAATTGCAGTAATCTTAGATATGAATTGAAACAGCCTGCAAAAAATGAAATTGAGGAAAATTGAAAGCAGTTTTTAGTGACAAAGTCAGCAGTTTGACTGTGAAACTCTTTGGGAAGAAACCTACTCTTTTTCTTTTCTTTTTCTTTTTTTTCCAGTCCTAGGGCCTGAACTCAATTTGACTGCTGACTCTGACTATAAAAGCATAATAGAGTTTTTTTGTTGGCGGATATGTGGCTTGAACTCTGGGCCTGGGCACTGTCCCTGAGCTCTTCAGCTCAAGCCGAGTGGTCTACCACTTGAGCCATAGCTCAAGTCACTTCCAGTGTTCTGGTGGTTAATTGGAGATGAGAGTCTCAAGGACTTTCCTGCTGGGGCTGGCTTTGAACTGTGATCCTCAGATCTCCTGAGTAGCTAGGATTACAGGCATGAGCCTGGCAAGATATTTTTCTTTAGATGATTAAGTCATTGATGGTAAGAATAGTAGAAGGTATTAAGAAGGATTGGATAAAAGAAAAAGTTGTATTGGACTTGAGTTAGAGGTTTTCGTAGAAAATTCAGTTTTAGATACATTGCAGGAGTTGCAGGTTTAAGAGTGGGTTTCTGGGCTGGGAATGTGGCTTACTGGTAGAGTGCTTGCCTGGCATCCATGAAGCCATGGGTTTAATTCCTCACTACCACATAAACAGAAAAGGCTGGAAGTGGTGCTATGGCTCAAGTGGTAGAGTGCTAGCCCTGAGCAAAAGGAGCTCAGGGCAGCATGCAAGCCCTGAGTTCAAGCCCTAGGACTGGCAAAAAAAGAAGATAGAAAGAGTAAGTTTCTTCCCAGAGAGTTTCAGGATTCATTATTGCGTACAGGACTCATCAAATGGTAGGAGCAAGTAGGCTTATTCAGGAAGTGTACATAGCATGAGGCAAGAAAGCCACCAGTGAAACCTTGAGGCACCATCAGCAATTAAGGAACAAAAACTAGGAAGAAGAGCAAGAGACACTGAGGTTAGTAGAGGCTTACGTACTCCAAAAAGGAAATGTTTAGAAAAAGATGCAATTAGTAAATCACCTGATGCTTTACAAGTTAAAAGTAGCATTTAGAAGTTTCTAGCTCTGTTAGATAGTTCAAGAAAATTCTGTAATAAAAGCACAAAAAAACTAGCTGGGTGCCGGTGCCTCACACCTGTAATCCTAGTTACTCGGGGCTGAGATATGAGGATTGCAGTTCAAAGCCAGTGTGGGCAGGAAAGTCCATGAGACTCTTATCTCCAATTAACCACCAGAAAACCAAAAGTGACGCTGTGACCCAAGTGGTAGAGCGCTTGCCTTGAGCTGAAGAGCCCAAAGTTCAAGCCCCACGACTGACAAAAAAAAACAAAAAAACTAAACAGAAAGAAAACAATTATTATAGGAAAATAAAAATGGAAGCAAATGTAGTGAGCAGAATACTACATAGCTCAGATGGAAAATATTTATATATCTCTAATAACCTAAACACTAAATATACGTTAACAAAAACTTTTGATATAGCAATATTGGTAAAACAAGAGATTTAGTAATAGATGAATCTTTCTTTCCTACAATCCAAAGCCAATAGTCTAAACTGAAAAAAAATCTAAGAAACAACACTATAAATGGCAGTTAGAAGTACAGAAGATAGTACAGAAGATACTATTGGCTGGAAATGTAGCTCAGTGGTAGAATGCTTGCCTAGCCTTCATGAGGTCCTGGGTTCGATTCCTCAGTACTACATAAACAGAAAAGGCCAAAGTGGTACTGTGACTCAAGTGGTAGAATGCCAGCTTTAAGCAAAAGAATCTCAGGAACAGTGCCAGGCCCTGAGTATAGTCCCCTAGGACTGGCAAAAAAATAAGACACTAACAATGTAGTTTTTGCCAAGATAGGAGTGAAATAAGAGGAAGAAATATTATGTGTGATGCTGTTTGTCTTTATAAACTGTTTCCGTACATCAGATAAAATTTAAATTTAAGGGACTGGGAAGGTGACTCAGTGGTAGAGTGCTTGCCTTGCATGCCTGAGGCCCTGGGTTCGAATCCTCAGCACCACATAAGCAAAAAGAAAAAAGCCGGAAGTGGTGCTGTGGCTCAAGTGGTAGAGCACTAGCCTTGAGCTGAAGAGCTGAGGGACCGCGCCCAGGCCCAGAGTTCAGTCCCCACGACCGGACCCAAAAAAAAAAAATTTAAATTTAAAAAGATAATTTGTTGCCAACTGCCAGAAGCTCATGCCTATAATCCTAAACTACTCAGGAGGCTGAGATCTGAGAATCACAGTTCAAGCCAGCTCAGGCAGAAAAGTTCCTGCCAGACTCTTATTTCAAACCACTCAAAAACCAGAAGTGGAACTGTGGCTCAAAGTGGTAGAGTGCTAGCCTTGAGTAAAAGAGCTCAGGGATAGCACCTAGGCCCTGAGTTCAAGTCCCATGAAACAATAACAACAACAACAACAAAAGACAATTTTTTAGTAACTAGAAATAGCAACCTAATAATTTGTAGGAAACACCTTAGCTATTTAGTTAAATGGACTGAATTCTAAAGCCAAAAATAAAATATATTGGTCTACTTCTCTTTCCATTGTAAGTGCATCAATTTGAAGCATTGTTAACCTTCCTTTTTCCATAGGTTGATGAAAAAACTGTAGGAGAACCTGGTTGGTTTTATGGTAGTTTTCAAGGAAATTTTGGTTGGTTTCCATGCAACTATGTAGAAAAAATGCCAACAAATGAAAAAGCTCTGTCTCCTAAGAAGGCCTTACTTCCTCCTACAGTATCTTTATCTACTACTACCTCAACTTCTTCTGAGTAAGTACTAAGCTAACACCAGACTTTTTATATCTCTGCCAGTGTATGAATGCTAGTGTATACTTAGATCAGCCTGATCCTTTGTCATATTATTAATATGAGCTGGACTTTTCCAAGAGCACCCTTGATTCTAAATTTAATATTGGAATTTAGTAAATGAAATCATAGGACAATCATTTGTTTATGAATTTTTCCCACTTTAGGATATATAATTAGTACTTTATTTCATTTTAATTATTAAGTATACTTAATTACAGTGTTATATTTGCAGACCGCTTTCTTCAAATCAACCAGCATCTGCAGCTGATTATCAAAATGTATCTTTTGCAAACCTAACTGTTAATACATCATGGCAGAAAAAATCAGCTTTTACTCGTACTGTGTCCCCTGGATCTGTATCACCTATTCATGGACAGGTAGGTTGTCTCTAATTTTTGTTTGCTTTATTCTTTGAGTTTGTTCCTGATTTATGTGACTTGAATGAAGATTTCATATAAAGGCTTCATTTACTTATTTAACATGAGATTGTAGCATCCAATTTCTGGTTGCTGGTTTTGTGTGTGTGTATTTTTTACATAGGATATCAAGTTGAAGAATGATTAATATTAGATTCTCAATTCATTCTCAGTGTCAAGTGGAAGATAAGAGATTTGAACTTGGTTTTTAATTTTTTCCCTTTAAGTCATTGAAGACATGGTACTTTGTTATGTATATGCACCTCTAATTTAGGATACCCATTGTAAATACTGCTACATTCATATTATTAAAAAGAAATTGCAGGATACATGAGGCTCTGGATTTGATTTCTCAGCACTACAAAAGCAGAAAAAGCCAGAAGTGGTGCTGTTGCTCAAGTGGTAGAGCACTAACCTTGAGCTGAAGAGCTGAGGGACAGTGCCCAGGCCCAGAGTTCAGGCCTCACGACTGACCAAAAAAAAAAAGAAAAAAGAAATTGCAAAAGCCAAGTGCTGGTAGCTCATGCCTATAATGCTAGCTACTCAGGAGGTTGAGATCTGAGGATCACAGTTTGAAGTTAGCCTAGAAGGAAAGACCTTGAGACTTTCAGCTCCGATTAACCACAAAAAAAGCCAGAAGCAGAGCTATGGCTCAATGGCAAAATGCATGCGTCAAGCAAAAGAGCTCAGGGAAAGCACCCAACCCTTGAGTTCAAGCCCAAGACACACACACACACACACGCACGCACGCACGCACGCAACCCTTGAGTTCAAGCCCAAGACAGACGGAGCTCAGGGAAAGCACCCAACCCGTGAGTTCAAGCCCAAGACACACACACGGAAAGCACCCAACCCTTGAGTTCAAGCCCAAGATACACACACACACACACACACACACACACGTGTATTGGCATAAAGCCAAGTGCCAATAGCTCATACCTGTAATTCTAGCTACTCAGAAGGCTGAGATAGGAAGATCGCGGGTTCGGTTCAAAACCAGCCTGAGCAGGAAAGTCCATGAGACTCATCTCCAATTCACCACCAGAAAACCAGAAGTGGCGTTACGGCTCACACAGTAGAGCACTTGCTTGCCTTGAGCTGAATTGCTCGGGAACAGTTCCCAGGGCCAGAGTTCAAGCCCCATGACTGACAAAAAAAAAAAAAAGGACTTAATGGTACAAAACATTTCTAGAAATGAGAGTGTAATACTATTTACAGTTTAAGTGAAGAGTTTAGCTTCATCAAGAGAACAAAAATAAGAGACTAAAGGCTGAGTGAGACTGTGCTTAACCACATCTGTTGCAAGTCAGGTATCTGAATCAAGTGCAGTTGGATGAATAGTATTAGAAGCTGGAGGAGAGAAAAGTAACTCATTTCTTTCTTGTATGGTGTACCTTTGGTGGACCTATGAATACTTCATAGCGTGTTCACTATTCACCTCTGTACCAGTGATGATGTAAATTCCTTAGAGTATAAGTGATCAAGAAGGCTACTTTCATGGTTGTGGGCATATAGAATTTTAAGTCAATTAGATTAGTAGGTTAAATCACCACCACACAAAATGGTCTACTGTTTGAACTTGTATATTATGTGTTAGTAAATAGAACTCATGAGTATTATACTTTGTTTTTCAATTTCGGTGGCTGCTTATTTATAGGGACAGGCTGTAGAAAACCTGAAAGCACAGGCTCTCTGTTCCTGGACTGCAAAGAAAGAGAACCATTTGAACTTCTCAAAACATGACATTATTACCGTCTTGGAGCAGCAAGAAAATTGGTGGTTTGGAGAAGTGCATGGAGGGAGAGGATGGTTTCCAAAATCTTACGTTAAGATCCTTCCTGGAAGTGAAGTAAAGCGGGAAGAGTAAGTATTTCTGTGTGTTTACAGGAGGTGTGGATGTTCATGTTTCCACTGATAACTTAGCCCACAGGATGAGTAGCTCTGGTTTAAATGTAGAGATATGATTAGAAATGTGATTTCTAGCCGAGAAAAACAACAGATGTGTGTTTCTGCTTTAAAATCTTTTATTATATTCATTTCAGATTCATAGTTTTCAACGTCCTATACTTAAATTTTTATGTACTATAGTACTATATTTAAATTTTCAATATTCTTTTTCTTTCTTTGTGGTACTAAGGGTTGAACTTAGATCCTCATACATACTAGGCAAATTCTCTACTACTTAAGCCTTGATCCCAGTTCTGTTTTTTTATTTTTTTTATTAATAAGTTTTTTTTTTATTGTGAAAATACCGTACAGAGGGGTTACAATTACATGAGCAAGGTAATGAGTACATTTCTTTTTTTTTGGTCCAGTTGTGGGGCCTGCACTCGGCCTGAGCACTATCCCTCAGCTCTTCAGCTCAAGGCTAGTGCCCTACCACTTGAGCCACAGCGCCACTTCCGGCTTTTTTCTTTTTGCTTATGTGGTGCTGAGGAATCGAACCCAGGGCCTCAGGCATGCAAGG